AGTGCAATAGTAGCAGCAGTAGTAGTGAAGTGTTTAATAGATGTGCTAGTAATAGGTTAGAGACTGTGGCTTAGGGGTTGCGAACGCGCTTTGAAATTCCCTGCTCTCGGGTTTGTATTCCAGCTGCAGACGATTTGACAGCAGACCGCTGCAGTAATAGCAGCAGTAATAATCGTAGTTGCAGTAGTAGTGACAGTTGTAGTATCAGCTGAGGTGGAGGTTTCAGTGGCAGTAGTGGTTGTTGTAGTAGTAATAATGGTAGTATAAGATATAATAGTAGTTGTTGTTTTGCAGTGGTAGTAGCGATTGTTGTTGAAGTTGTGGTGGCGGTGGATGTAGCAAATGTTCTGCCTGTAGCAGTAGAAGATGGTGTTGTTTTTCTTGTAGCAGTCATGGTAGCAACAGTAGCATTAGTATCAGCATTAGTAGTAGTAATACCGGTAGTAGTAGTTTTTCTGGTGGTGGTCCTATTTGTTGTAGTAGTTGTTTTAGTTGCTGTGGTTTTTGCAGCATCAGTAGTAGCAGCATTAGGAGTAGTAATATTAGTAGTAGAAGTGGAGGTAGTAGCAGCAGCAGCAGATATGTCTACTACACGGAGTACCACTACGAGGTCAGCAGATATGTCTACTACACGGAGTACCACTACGGGGTCAGCAGATATGACTACTACACGGAGTACCACTACGGGGTCAACAGATATGACTACTACACAGAGTACCACTACGGGGTCAGCAGATATGACTACTACACGGAGTACCACTACGGGGTCAGCAGATATGACTACTACACGGAGTACCACTACGGGGTCAGCAGATATGACTACTACACGGAGTACCACTACGGGGTCAGCAGATATGACTACTACACGGAGTACCACTACGGGGTCAGCAGATATGACTACTACACGGAGTACCACTACGGGGTCAGCAGATATGTCTACTACGCAGAGTACCACTACGGTGTAAGAAATGTAAGAACATCGGTGAAGCTTACGCGATGTGATCTGGTGTCCACTCCAGTTTCCACGTGTGAAAAGCATCATGCCAAGAAGCAGATTTTCTGCAAGTAAAATTCGTAGCAATATTATTTAGGTAACATTCAACGAATTAAGAATGTAAGATTTTCTTCTTCTTCTTCTTCTTCTTCTTCTTCTTCTTCTTCTTCTTCTTCTTCTTCTTCTTCTTCTTCTTCTTCTTCTTCTTCTTTCTTCTTCTTCTTCTTCCTTCTTCTTCTTCTCTTCTTCTTCGTCTTCTTCTTCTTCTTTCTTCTTCTTCTTCTTCTTCTTCTTCTTCTTCTTCTTCTTCTTCTTCTTCTTCTTCTTCTTCTTCTTCTTCTTCTTCTTCTTCTTCTTCTTCTTCTTCTTCTTCTTCTTCTTCTTCTTCTTCTTCTTCTTCTTCTTCTTCTTCTTCTTCCTTCTTCTTTCTTCTTCTTCTCTTCTTCTTTTCTTCTTCTTCTTCTTCGTCTTCTTTCTTCTCTTCTTCTTCTTCTTCTTCTTCTTCTTCTTCTTCTTCTTCTTCTTCTTCTTCTTCTTCTCTTCTTCTTCTTCTTCTTCTTCTTCTTCTTCTTCTTCTTTCTTCTTCTTCTTCTTCTTCTTCTTCTTCTTCTTCTTCTTCTTCCTTCTTTCTTCTTCTTCTTCTTCTTCTTCTTCTCTTCTTCTTCTTCTTCTTCTTCTTCTTCTTCTTCTTCTTCTTCTTCTTCTTCTCTTCTTCTTCTTCTCTCTCTTCTTCTTCTTCTTCTTCTTCTTCTTCTTCTTCTTCTTCTTCTTCTTCTTCTTCTCTTGAATTCTTCTTCTTCTTCTTTCTTCTTCTTCTTCTTCTTCTTCTTCTTCTTCTTCTTCTTCTTCTCTTCTTCTTCTTCTTCTTCTTTCTTCTTCTTCTTCTTCTTCTTCTTCTTCTTCTTCTTTCTTCTTCTTTCTTCTTCTTCTTCTTCTTCTTCTTCTTCTTCTTCTTCTTCTTCTCTTCTTCTTCTTCTTCTTCTTCTTCTTCTTCTTTTTCTTCTTCTTCTTCTTCTTCTTCTTCTTCTTCTTCTTCTTCTTCTTCTTCTTCTTCTTCTTCTTCTTCTTCTTCTTCACGTCCTTGTTAATAGTGCTTGAGATGTTTCTGTTCTGTCTTCCTATGTATAATCATATTAACAAAAACAACAAACATAAAAAGAGCGAAGGTGCACCGCGATCTTATCATATTACCGCCATCTGCGAAAGGATTGAAAAACACTGTAAGCATCATCGTGTAGCAGGTCCTTCGCAGGACGTCGCTCTAATCACGGTCTGCCTGAAAGAAACTCGGTCTCTCGCCATCTCTCCTGCCTCGTGTACCATCATATTCAATGAGTCACTTATATCCTGTGCCTATCTTCATGTTGGTCAACCCTTGCCGCTCCTTCCTGGTAGCATGTCATCTGCTATTATATTTGAATCAGACAGACAGTCGGTTTTGAACACACTGAGACCGTATGTAGGAAGCCTTATACTAGCAGCTCTCAATCTATGGGTCACGACCCTTTTGGAGGTTGAACAACCCTTTCACAGGGGTCGCCAGAGACCTTGGCAAAACACATATTCATTAAAGTTATAAAGTGGCAATGAAAATAATTTTATGGTTAGGAGTCGCCATAACACGAGGAACTGTATTAATGGGTCGCGGCTTTAGGCAGGTTGAGAACGACTGTCTCAACCGATGCCAGAGTCACTGTGATGTGGCGTCTAGAGGCTCGCCTGCAGCCCTGAAGGTCGGAGATTCAAATCTGCATTGAGAGGGGTAAAGTCAGAGGAAATAAAGGCGTCCAGCGTGGTGCTGATTTATAAAATATGTCTATCACTGTACAACCAATGAAGTCGCCGTGGTGGAGAAGATTGAAGCTTACCGGCAGATCAGAGGGTTGTAGTT